TTCCCAGACCGCCCTGTCCTATCACAGCCTGATGCAGGGCGGTCGAGCCCTCGAGACACCGCCCTGAGAATCTGGCTCTGTGCCCCTGCTGCTCTCCTACCCGGATGGGTGGGACTTTGGGTTCCTCTTTGGTGGGCTGTGGCTTTTCTGGGTGAACACTTTCAATTGTGTTACGAAAGGACTGACGATCTTCAAGCCGGGGCTTCTTCTCGGGGAAGGAGGGAGAGGCGGCCTGCTCAAAGCTCTTCCTCTTCTGCTCCTTCGACTCCTGGTCCTGCAGCTCCTGGGGCAGGCTGGGAATCCTCTCGGCCACGGCCACGGCCACGGCCTCTTCCGCTTCTCTCGGGACCCTGGTCGCCTCGGAGGAAATCTCCCTCTTTGGAGACGACGCCTGGCTGCCTTTGCAGAAGCCCGCTTCCGGCTGTGGGTCTCGAAGCTCAGCGGACTCTGGTTCAACAGGCGGCGGCACCTCCGTGGCAGCCTCGGCTTGCTCTGCCTCGCGCAACTTATACAAGCTCCTCCGAGTTCTGCTTCGAAGGGAGCGCTTCCTGAAGTGCCCGTCCCGTTGCCGCGTGATGGGGCCGTGCGACACCCTGGCGGGCTCTTCTTGGGAGGCGGATGTGCTCTCCTTTTCCGTGTCCCTGGGAGCTGAGTTTTGCTCCACAGGCTCCTCTCTGGTCAAGCCCAGCCTACAGAGATCAGGGATAGAACTGCGTTAATGGGACAACTAACACACAGAAAGAGAATACCTATCTTTGTTGTTTTTTTTCTTTAATCACATAACTTTATCGGACATAAGAGGAGATAGAATACGGGAAATATTTATACATGGCCTCAAGGTACAGATATCAAAAGACAAGAGATCATGGCTGGTTGGTAAGAAAGGCAGTGAGTGTCAAATATGGTGATGAGCGTGTCTTCTATGTGCAGGTCCGTAACAGAAGCATGTGCGACAGAGAACAGGAGAACCTCCAAGCTTGTGTCTTTACAGCACAAGCTTCCACGAAAGGCTGTGTATCAAAGCCACCCTCATCACAATGTTTCAGGCCCGCTGACTTTCTTCTCAACCAACCACCATCATCTTTCTTTTTTTTTTACTTTTCATTTTGTTTTCTCCTAGAATGCTTGCACAGACTAACACGGGTCGTCCATTCTACAACTCCCTGTACTTGCTCACCAGCCATCACCTTCCAGAAGCTTCTGCTGCAAAACACCCTCCATTCTTCTGTCATTTCCATGCAACTTGCGCTACAAAAATCCTAGTCAATTCTAACGCCCTGGCCCGGTATCTGCCATGACCGCAGTCAATCCCACAGCCAGAAGGTTATATTTTTTACGGGTGGGCACCTAAAGATACGAAGCGGTGGTACATTCTATAAGAATGAAAAACTTCAATCAACTTTAGAAGGGGTCAGGTGCTTGGGAAGGCATGCCACGCCCTTTGTCCTGATTGTCAGAAAAAAAGAGTTTTGCATCTTGCTAAGCAAAACTGCTTTTCACCTCAAGTCACTAAGGCACCTAAAAATTTGTTTACTTTAGAAGTAATCAGACCATCAATTAGAGAAATACAAGTGTGGCCAGTGGATGCATCTGAGCAACTTCAAGATTGCTATAGGAGCACTGATTGGGCACTGTTTGAGGAGGACAATGTTGATACTTATGCCTCGACAGTACTGTTTTATATCAAAAGCTGCATCAATGTTGTTACTACTACCAGACAAGTACGAGTGTTTTCTAATAACAAGCCTTGGCTAAATAGAGAAGTGCGCCTTTTATTAAAAGCCAGAAATGCTGCTTTTCATTCTGGTGATGAACTACAGTACAGAGAGGCCAGAGCTAAACTGAAAAGGGGCATTAAGGATGCCAAAGCTATGTACAGCCAGAGAATTGAGCAACATCTTGAGAGTTCTGACACTCATCGAGTATGGCACAGCCTAAGACAAATCACAGGGCGGAGTAACAATAACAGTCTGTGTAGCAGCAGTGATTTTTTGGCTGAGCAGTTAACTCAATTTTTCAGCCGTTTTGAGGTGGAAACAGGAACAACCATTATTCCAGCACCTACTGTCTACGTATAATACATCGCTAGAATCTACCATCAACAGACAACCACTAGTACAGTGGGGTCTTGACTTGAGACGCGCTTTCCAGAATATTAACGTTCGAAAGGCAGCTGGACCAGACGGAATCATGGGACGAGTTGTTGGGGGCTGTGTTGCAGAATTAGCTGGAGTTTTTATGGATATTTTCAATCTATCCTTGTTGCAGTGTTCAGTCCCCACTTGCCTGAAGACAATGCTGTAAATGCTGTGATAAATTTAACTTCCCGAGCATTCTCAGGAAATACAGCCTCTTCTGTGCCTTCTTTATTAGCATGTTGGCATTTATAGTCCATGAGAGGTCCTCTGAGATGTAAGTACCCAGAAATTTAAAACTACCAACTCTCTCCACTTCCTCACCGTTTATGTACAGTGGTAAATGTACATATCTCTTCCTCCTAAAATCAATTATGAGTTCTTTAGTTTTTTTGATGTTAAGTGTGAGATGATTTTCTTTACACCAAAGTATCAACCTTTGTACTTCCTTTCTATAAGCAGACTCATTGTTCTTATTTATGAGCCCCACCACTGTCGTATCATCCGCAAATTTAATAA